AGAGCTCTTTCATATATGTCAGCGCAGGGACCATGTACTTTGGAGTCCCAATGAGATTGGGAAGTAGAGCAGAAATAACAGAGATAATTCTGCATTCTCCCTCATCAGTGTAACAGCGTTGGGATATGTGCCTCTCCTTGGGCTGAAAGTCAGATCCCAAAGATTTATCATGAAGGTTCCTGAACAAGTATTTAGATCTACAAATCATTGTGCTTTCTCTTAATTAACAGCAAAACCACAATCCCTTCTCTTACCAAATTCTTATCTATGAGATGTACAGAATTACTGTGATAATTGGTTTAATTTATTTGGGCTATGCCACTTCTGAATCACCAAAGCACAACATTGATGTACTGCAGCGTGTAAATAGCTGTTTTTCTGTCCTCTAAAAATAATGATACAGTACACACATTCTCTGCAGGTATGTCATTTCCCCCCAGCTTCAGGTAAACTATCCATCTTTTCGCCTAATACTGGAAGCGGCCAACATTAATTTTGGCTGAATCTGAACATGTTTTGAAATGATTTCATTTTGTGGAGTCATTCAGCCTGTTTTAGAAAGATCTGTGTGAAGTCAACGCTGTATCATGAGACGGCTGGCTCTGTCTCAAGTACTTCACTTGAAGTTCATACTTAAAAGAGGGAAGAACAGCTTTCAACCCTGATCCAATTAAAGTTAGTCACTCTTAAGTCTCAATGCAATTAGTGAAACAACTTAATCGTGTAAATAGAGCTGTATCGATCTGAGTAGGACTTAACACGATGTCTTGTTTAGCGTTAACATTAAAGTAATATATTTAAACTTGTCTTATTACTAGCCATTGATTTGAATGTCAATCTTCTATTTGTATATCTTGTGCCACACCTCTGGGAGAACTCTGTCTTATTTGTTTCTCGTTGCATTTTCAACAGTGTATAGTTAATCTTTCCCTCATTTATCTGTTTGGCATATGCGATTCATATGCAACCCTTAGCATCTTTACTCAGAATTATTTCCCACTGTATTCACTTGAACTTAATCCAGGTAAGTCCGCATAGGATTGTAGTAGTCTAGTTCGATTACTGGTATATTTTAGGCACTGTACTGAAATAAATATGGAGTAAAATCTCTTTCTCTTCTTCCCAACACCCAGAATATTGAAGAAATTCCCATTTTGGTGATCTGTATATATCTTTATCGACAGCATTGATTTATTTATTTAAAATTAATGTTTCTGTGAATTTTATGTACACATGGAACATTGTTAATTTTACATTTCTGTGCCACCGTTTAATATGGTTGAATAAAACTCCTTCTCTGGGCTAGAGGAAAGCTGCTTTTATAGCCCCCAGCTATAGTAAAATGTCAGGTGAGATGGGTTTATAGATACAAAATGGGGACGGGGGGACGGGACTGTTCATGCTGCACAATTATTGCACTGTAATTCCAGTTTAATCACCATAGCTACATCCTGTTGTTTGCTAAAAATGCTGAACTGTTCTTTTTTATGGTGTAGGAACCTATCTCTGTTTTCCCATATTACTTTTTCCTTTGCTGGTGCCACATTTACTGATAATGAGATATGCCCAGGAGTACATTAGCATTATTAAGCAAGGTATACCTGTAACTTTATTACAGTAGTTGGGTGCCAGCTATCTTGTATAGTACACAAGCTCTCTTAGCAGGAATGAGATGACTATTACTGCGTAATCATGCTCATAACTTTGTCTCAACCCTCGGGGATTCATGGTACTTGTAAGGCCTACCACACTGAGACTTTGGAATAATTTTATTAACTACCTATGATTTTAGTAGATCCAGATCAAAACTGATCTGTCTTGGTGGTAGTTTCAAAAACAGTTCACAAGATCAGGCTCCTGCCACAAAGCCATCTCAAAAGACTTCACGGCATGGCTACAAAATATCTTCAGGGGGTTCTCTGAAGATCATAAAATCTTTGCTTCATGATTTTGGGCTTTCTGGGAACACAGTACTACAATCCTAGGTTTTATATTTCCCTGAACAGAAGACACCAGCCTTTCTTGTTTTAGATTGAACTGAATGGAGAGTATTGTTAGGACTTAGTTTACAAAATAGTGTGTACCTGTCTTTACGATTGGAAGTTAATTAATCTGGGATTCAGCACTACACAACTGTCTTCACTAAAAATGAAACACAGAACAATATCTGACTTTAAGAATGTAAACATTACTATATAGTCCCAAGATTGTCCTGGCCTCTGAGGAATGGTTGTGAGCACAAGCAACTCCTAGTTTCTACTTCACTTGCCAATAAATCTTAAAACTGAAAGCATTTCCTTCTGTTCCTCCTACAAGTCCTGTTGCACAGGGATTTTCTGGATTTACCTGTCAATACAGTCAATCCCTGAGTTATGGACAAGATAGGTTTTGTTTTTCAGTTGTAAGTTGGAACAGGTACATTTTTTAGTGTCACTCCAACCAAATATATACATAGGGTGCCAGCTATCTTGTATAGTATACATAAGGAGCTGTGATGATGCAATGGGTTAAACCCTTGTGCTGGCAGGACTGCTGACCTGAAGGTCAGTGATTTGAATCCATGAGATGGAGTGAGCTCCTGTCTATCAGCTCCAGCTTCCCATGCGGGGACATGAGAGAAGCCTCCCACAGGATGGTAAAACATCCGAACGGCCCCTGGCCAATGTCCTTGCAGACATTCTCTCACACCAGAAGCGACTTGCAGATTCTCGAGTCACTCCTGACACGAAACAAATATAAAATTAACTTGTTGTGGAAACGAGGATTGGTGAAAAAGCTTCAGTGGAGACACCTTTCGCCCATGATAACTCTTTCAGGAGTGATTTCCTCTTACTTCCTGTTGTCTCATCCCTGTTCTTAACTATGAGTTGGATGCCTATAACTCGAGGACTGCCTGTAGAGTACAGCCCCCATATTTGCAGGAATATGCGAAACCATGGTTAATAATAATCATAATAATAATAATAATCTTTATATCCCGCCACCATCTCCCCAACAAGAACTCAGAACAGTTTACATGAGGCCAAGCCCGAACAGCAAATTACAATGCAGTGAGATACAAATTGCAATAAAATAAACAACATAACATTAAAGTATAAAACATGTAAGCATATAAACAATAAACACAAAACATTAAAAAAACAGTAAACCAAACACATAAACCCTGTTGAAATGAAGGACCGCTAGCCCAGGAATACAATGGAGTTATGCTTGAGGGGCGGGGTGGGGGGCTATAAAATGACACATTTTCTCAAATCAAATAGCAGATACTGGTCTGCACATACAGAGGCTGTACTGTTTATAACAGAAAGGGGCCGAATATAGATTAGAATCCGACAAATACCAAAAGTAATTACAGTACAAACTCAGGGTGGAATTGAGCCTAAAGTATTGTTTAAACCAGAATTAATGTGCAGGATGAGAGAAATATTAGATGAATATGAAAAAGTACAAGGAAATGTTCTCGTATTTGGATGTAATTATATTGCTGTTAAAAATGTTTTAATTGGATATTTTATAACTTATTGTTTTTAATTAATGTCAAATTTGTGTTGTTTTGTTGTGTGTATTGGCATTGAATTGTTGCCTGTTGTAAGCCACTCTGAGTCCCCCCCTCGGGGATTGAGAAGGATGGGATGCAAATGTTTGAATTATTAAATAATAATATTTTCTCCATAGTTGAGAAGCCTCCATGCACATATGATGATAGGCATTAGAAGTTCTCAAAAAGCAGACATTAAAAGCAAGACGTATAAATTACTCCAGTTAAAGAGATATTGTCTCATTATTTGAGAGATATTAGTGAAATTTAGTATAAAACAATACTTTGTTTCTCCCTTTACTTTCTGCAAGGCTTAAAATTGACCCAGAAAACAATAAAAAATAAATTGAACTGTGGAGCAAAAACATTTTATATGAAAGGAAAGAAAACTAACTCAGCAAATTATGGTAATATGATAATAGACGTATTATTTCCTCTGTGTGATATGGATCCTTATGAAAATATATAGAACCCTAGTTCTGTGTTATACTATTGCTGCTAATTCTTGTGTTTAAAACATAGTTTTATGAATTGCTTGTTTTTAATTTCTGTATTAAAACTGTGTTGATGCATTAAAGAGTCAAAGTGTCAATAAAAGTAATTTAAAAAATGATCCTCAAAAAGACTGTTGTTGTTTTTTGGTATTAAATGACAGTTCACCAGTAAAACAAAATGAGTATTCGTATAACAGAGAGGCCTAGTATTCTCCTTGGATCATTATTGGTGGAAGCAGATTACTTTAGATGAAGTGTTCTGGATTCTAGAGATAGGTTGAGTGATGTGCCCTATGAACTCTCCAGGTTGTATTATCACAGGTATATTGTTTCTGAATGTGAACCTGTGATTGCTCACTCTTACTTCCCCACCAATATCTGCAGCTCTAAACTCAAAAGACAGTTTCCCCCGGAGAGGGTGTAAAATCCCTCCCCTCTCTTGCACACACACACACGCACACACAGATACACTAAGTTTAGTTGTCTTGCAACCATTGCGTCTTGCATTTAATGCTGATTTCTTTCCATTTTTGCAAGTTCTTCTCCCTTTAGAGTTGCTTCTCCATTTTTTTTGTAGACTCTCGCACTTAATAACTGCATGACAAGCAGAAATTAGTTTTTCACTTTGCTTCTATCCCAGTCTTTCCATGACAAGTTAAAGGAATCCAGGGATTTAACATACTGTTGAAGTTTTGCCTTATCAATGATCAATGACATCCTTAGCTAACATTCTATCTCACCTTAAAATGAAACCATTCTAAATCAAGGATAGAGAACACAGCCCTCCAAATACCTTTTGGACTACATCTCCTAAGTGAGGGATGGTGGGAGCTGTGGTTCAACAACATCTCATGGGTTTCATATTTCCCAGGTCTCTGTGTTGAGTATAGATTTGGCCCATTAGGTAGAGAAACCTTAAAGAAGCCACTGGACTTTGTGATTAAGTTTGGAAGAAGAGGAAGACCTGGGGTTGCCATTCATAGGGCTGCGAAATAGACCATTTAAAAATATAGTTGTATTTTCAATTGTATATTTAAGAGGGAAAGAATCCAACCTGGCATATGACTCCTGAGAGGAGGGTGTGAATCGCTGTTTGGGAAACTCAGCTGAGTGAACTTGGGCAAATCACACACTCTTAGCCTCAGAAAAATCTGTGATAGGTTCACCTTAGCGTCACCATAAAGTAGACAGAACCTAAAGCCACATAACAAAAAATAGGAGTGTAATGTCTTTGTAATGTCATTTGTATAATGCATTTGCTTGTAGTTGGTATTATTTTCTTTAGGGCCTTCAGATTTGCATCCAAATATTGCAGTACAACTAAGCAGCACAGGAAGTTGTGTTCTGTCATCAAACCCTTTACTGGTATCTCATTGGATTCTTGGAATGTTGGGGACAATACAAAGGTGTCTAATTTACGCAACCCTCGTATCCCTCAACAGTCAATATAGCTGACTTCATTATCCATTGTTTCACTTAGAGCTACACCTTCTCTGTATTCCCATCATTTCTCCTGCTGAAAAGTGTAGAGCAGTGGTTTTCAACCTGGGGTCCCCAGATGTTTTTGGCCTTCAACTCCCAGAAATCCTAACAGCTGGTAAACTGGCTGGGATTTCTGGGAGTTGTAGGCCAAAAACATCTGGGGACCCCAGGTTGAGAACCACTGGTGTAGAGTCTGCTATTATCTAGAAGTGGATCAAGAGATTTCATGAGGGCACAGCAGCAAGTAGGCACATGTGGGAATTTTCTAGATCCTTGGGAAACTTGTCATTCAGTTGTAAACTCAACCTGCACCTTTCTCCTTGTTTTTATTTTTCACTCATTAAACCAGATAAGAAGAAAACCACCACTCTTTTCATCTATAGGTGACCTGTTCCCAGTAGCCAAAGGGAGAAGTCAGAACTGGAGAGGAAGGAAGTAGCACAAAAAGCTCCTCATGTCATCTCTGGCACCAGTGCTCCTTTGCCTTGTACTCTCCAGTTGCTTTCCCCATTAGCACGCTATCTTTGTGCCTCTCCTTCCCTTGGTTCTCTTGTTTTGAATACACAACCCTCGTATTCTCACAGCCAGTATAGCTGACTTCATTTTCCATTGTTTCACTTACTTAGAGCTACACCTTCTCTGTATTCCCATCATTTATCCCGCTTGAATAAGGTGTTGGAGCCTTAAGGTTGGATGAGCACATATCTGTAGGCTTTCCTGCTTCTCCGCAGTGGCCTCCGTCATTGTAACATATTGCCTCTTTGTTCTATATTGTTCCATGGGAGTTGTCCCATTGTCTTAATTTTTTGCTTAATCTTTTGTAATAAACTTTGTAGAATTCAAATTTAATTCTGAATCTGCCAATTTTGCCTTTATTTACTCACTACAAATTAATTGAGCATTATGCCCTTAGGGCAAGAATTGATTGATGTTTTGTTGATGACACAATGTCATCAGGCCACAAGTTACATCAATCCTGTCCTGATGTTGCATTGAAAAGAACAGAGTGCTTATCCTTGTGACCATCATATTTAATTGTTTGTTTAGCATAAGAATTAAACACCATCAGAACAACAAGGAGGAGTACAAGTAGAATGGATGCATTATTAACTACAGACATATCCCATTAGCACAGTGTGGTGCATGATTGTATGCATGGCTTGTTTATAACTGAGCTAAGGAATATGTTGTCCTCTAGTTAATATTGAACTACAGTTGCCATTATCACAATTGGCTGTGCTGGCCAGCACTGATGACCAAGTCCAACATGTTCTCCAGACTTGATTAGAGGATTGAAGCTTTGGTCCAAATCCGAAGTGACCTCAACTATTAAAGTAATTCAGTGGACCTCTGCTGTTTCAAGAATCAGGAGGGAAATCCATACTAGCAGATGAATTGTGCTTCAGTTAAAACACATGGGATCTCTGATTGGCTAGGCCAAAATCCACTGCATTATATACTGAGCATTACCTTTCATGGAGGAAGAATGGTTTACAGATCAAATACAAATATCCATGTAGAAATAGAGGATGAGTGGGTCCCTTTGCTGTGTGTTTTGGAGAAGTGTAATGTTGTTGTGTAGGTGAGAATTTGGGATAGAAAGCAACAGGGAAGGAACTGGTAACACTTGCTATGCCACGGTGGTATGCTCTCAATTTTCTGTTTTAAAATGATTGTATTGAGTCCTCTGGAAGAGAATGTGGACCAAAAATTAACATGGGGGAAATATCGATGGATATTTACTTTTCTGGTATTTTAGCACAAGTACTTTGGTTAACCCCTAGTTAGAGCTACAGTGCTTCCAGGTGGAGGGCTTCTAGAGTCTGTGCAGTTATTCCACTACCAATTCCCACTTTTTCTGGAAGGAAAAAGAATGGAAAGAGTGTTGGAACATCACAGAAGGGCTAGAAACTGAAGACATTGATGAGAAGATTCACACAAAGCTTTTATGACATTGTTGTTCTTCAGTCACAGGATTTTTAAGAGAGCTTCACAAGACATCATTCTTCACTTGTAATTCTCCTTTTTCTAAATTGCTTCTTCAATGAGTTCCTTACCATAGAGAATCCACTAAAGGAATAATAGCTCACTGTCCTTTGATTATTACTGTGGAGAACCTTCCTTCTGGAAACATCAGGTACATCTCCCTTACTGTATTCCATGAATATGGCAGTGTAATAATCACACAATAAAATTTTCATGTGGAAATACTGTGAGCTTTTAGTTCCAAATGCACTTACTAGGGAAGAAGCTGAAATGAACATAATTGCTTTTGCTTAGAAAAGTGTAAGATGGCTTCGGACTGTTTTAGGATTGTGGAGATGCTACATTAGTGGAGCTTTGCATAAAAAACAAGGAGATTTATGTTATAAAGTTCTATAACTTATCAAACTAAACCAACAAACCAAACTGAAAACTAGTACCTTGCATTGTTTAAGGATTGTTTTTAAATCTGTTCATAATATTTGGTCTCAAATTTTAATACAACAGCTATTAAGTTTTGTGGGTTTTGTTTTTAAACTATTAGAATTCTTCTGATGAGTCGTGCAGAGCTGTTATTAAACCTGTTTGCAATCTCTGTTGGAGTCATTTATATATATTTGCTTGAGATCAGAGGTTCCCAACCTGTGGTCCTTAGACCACCAGTGGTCCGCAAGAATTAAAATATGGGCTGCAGCCTCACCATTACTACATAGTTGCAACGAGAAGGACAGGTCTCACGAAACCCTATTATAGTGCCAAGGCTTATTAAATATGGATTTCTGAGGGCGAGAAGATGGTGACTACTGCATGGCATATTTTCTGTATCAGAAAATAGAGCTGATGCTGTCTATCCAATGAAATTTTCTGAATTGGCAACCCAAACCAAATCTAAAGTTGACCAAAAACTGATTTGCAACTCTTTTGGTACTAATGTTGGAGAGTGGTCCCTGGTCAATTGGTCCCTAGTCAAGTGGTCCCTGTCAAAAAAAGCTTGAGAAGATGTCTCATAAAGGACACATAAAGGCAGTTTTAATTACTGGAACATATTTGTCAGTATCTTGCTGTATGTTATAGCCACTCTTTTAGCTTTACAATAAAGAACCAAGTAGTGCTCTGTCAGCAATATCAAAGGTGTTATGTGTAAGCAATGTACCTTACTAGCTTGAAGTTGCAATTGCTTGTAAACATTATTGCAATTGTATAATCTGTGACACACAAAACAACATTGTAATTTTGACTCTAGAACTATTCCAGTGTAATAATATAAGAATTCTTTTATAAGCATTTGTTTTTATGGTGTGATGTAGACGCTAGGAGTACTTTGTCATCGAATGTTTGGAATTTTCATATTACATTATAGTGTTATAATCATTGCATCAACTGGGCCACTAGTTCTTTTTTAATTTGCTGTTTTGGAATTAATTTGTTGTTGTTAACTGCAAATGACACAGTTGTTGTGAGTATTGATGTCATGAGACTGGCAGAGAAAATAGAGGAGCCTGTGCTTCTCTCAGATTCTCCAAGAACAGACCTAACTCTTGCTTTTCTACACTCTATCCAGAGAAGGGTATGATTACTTTTTTGATAAAGAGTTAAGGTAGAATACTTACACTGATCTGTGTAAAATACATATACAGTAACTCAGTAAACTATTCCATTAAATGCTGTAATCCGATTGAAAAGCATTTACACGTAATGAAGATAAAAAGACAACAAATCCCCTCCCTAATGAAGGATCCTTTCTAACTATTCTCCAAAAAGCCTTCGACAACACATATTCCGCAAAAAGTCTAAATAATAATGGTCTTTGCTTTCCAGTGAAAAAAGAGCAGAGCAATGATCAGCCTAGATTTCCATGGGAGAGACAGCACCAAAGCCGAGGAGCATCCATCAAGAAGGCAAAATTTTGGATTGCAAAATTTTCGATAAAATATTCTCAACCTGTATCACATTTTCAACAAATATTATGATGATAATATTTGATAAGAGTACTTATCTGATTTTTTTTCTTTTGTGTGCTGATGATTAAGTTAACATTTTGTAGTAATCATAGAGTGCAACTGGGAGGATATGAATTATAAGTGGACGAATAGAAGCGGCAATTTTCTCCCTTTCCCCCATAACGTATCTTCTGAACAAGAACCATGCCCTTGTCATAACAATACACTCCTTTCATTTTTTAAAAAGTTAATCTCTTATCTGACTTCCTTATCTTTACAGACCACATCCCAGAGAACCTTTGGAATTGATTATGGCCGCAACTGTTTCCTCAAAGATGGGCAACCGTTCCGTTACATCTCGGGCAGCATCCATTATTCCCGTATTCCCCGGTACTATTGGAAAGACCGCCTCTTGAAAATGAAAATGGCTGGCCTTGATGCCATTCAGACGTAGGTGACCATGAACATTTTCAAACCACAGCTTCATGGGGTGGGGCAGCCTCTGAATATAAGAAACTATTTTGAGTTTTGCATTGCAGTGACTGGCAAAGAACCAGCTTGTGTTGCAATACATGAACTTGAAGAAGGGCAGGGCATCAGAGACTGGAGCCTATTCAAATGAGACATTTTGTTTGTTAATTCCAGAACAAGTTGATGCTATTAAAGATTAACTGTTTACTCAGCTCAGGGTTTATTGCTACTGTCTACATTGTCTGTGCCCAGTCAGGTGGAATAGAAGCAGATGTATGTTTCCAAATCTAAATCTAAATGGAAAGAGAATCCTTACACACCAGGATTATATAAAAATGGAATACAGAATTTCATTCAAATGTAATGTTTGTTTGTGGGATTAACAGAATTCAAAAACCACTGGATGAATTGACCCCAAATTTGGACACAAAACACCTAACAACCCAATGTATGCCCTTCACTCAAGAAATTTGATTTTGTCATTTGGGAATTGTAGTTGCTGGGATGTATAGTTCCCCTACAAAGAGCATTCTGAACTCCACCAATGATGGAATTGAACCAAACTTGGCATACAGTTCTCCCATGACCAACAGAAAATACTGGAAGGGTTTGGTGGGCATTGACCTTGAGTTTGGGAGTTGTAGTTCACCTACATCCAGAGAACACTGTGGACTCAAACAATGATGGATCTGGACAAAACTTGGCACAAATCCTCAATATGCCCAAATGTGAACACTGGTACAGTTTGGAGGAAATAGAATCTTGACATTTAGGAGTTGTAGTTGCTGAGATTTGATGTTCACCTACAATTACAGAGCTTTTTGAACCGCACCAACGATAGAATTGGGCCAAACCTCCCACACAGACCCCCCATGTGGGCCACAGCAATGCATGGCAGGGGATGGCTAGTATTACATATAGTCATTGATGAAAATTAAGACCTTTTGAATTTGCTGGATCACTCTGCATAGATTTTATCTCTAGCAGTCATTGAAAAGTCAGCAGAGTTATGCAAAACATTTGATAATCTCAATCTTGTTTGTGCTGGAGGATTTTCTACTTACCGGTAATTGTGCCTGCCATCTCTAGTAACCTTATATAATTGTAAGTCATGGTAGGTGGGGTGCTTACATTCAGGATATGTAATGCGTTTCTAGACATAATGAGCTTTTGTTTACAGTGTCACATGTCAAGTATCTAAAAATATCAGTATGTGCCTATATCTGTTCTTCCAGAATAATAGAGTAAAACAATGTAATAATAAAATATAGTAAAATAATAGATGTAATAATAATAAATAGAGAGTAAAATAATAAATATAATAATAACAATAATAAATAGAGTAAAACAATGTCATAATAATAACAATAGAGTAAAATAATAAATAACTTTGACTCGGGTATAAGCCGAGGGGGGCTTTTTCAGTCTAAAAAAGGGCTGAAAAACTTGGCTTATACTCAAGTATATAAGAGGTAAAGATTGTCCCCTGACACTAAATCCAGTCATGTCTGACTGGGGGGTGGTGCTCATCTCCATTTCTAAGCCAAAGAGCCGGCGTTGTCCATAGACACCTCCAAGGTCATGTGGCCAGCATGACTGCAAGGAGTGCCGTATATATAGTACTTAAAACTGACAGTGCTTTTGCAAGTGTCACTAACTTTGCCATTCTATTGCACCTCCTTGCGAATGTTATTAAAGTTGTTGTTCTCTTGCATTGTGTCCTGTTGCATTAGGAGAAAAAGGAGAGTAAATCTTCAAGGCGCACTTGCATCAGTCAGCTTATTAATAAGACCCAATATATTTCAACTCAAGAGATTTCTCCTGAAGGGCAATGCAGAAAGGTTTCTTTCAAAGAACCAACCATTTGAACATGCGGTGGTTGCTCTATGATATTTTGTGTAATGGTCTCAGCTCCAATGAATGCCAACTAGATCACTGCATTCATTAGCATTCTTTTGAAGTTAAATATGTTGGCGTAATTTCAGCATATGTAATTTAAAAATTATGAAAATGAAAATTAATATAATTCAATTGATGAATTGCCAAGCAAAACTACCATATAGAGTTTCACAAAGAAACAGTGCCATGTTCTATATAAGCTATCTGCAGAATCGACACTGTGAAAACAGTGTTGTGTATGGAAAGGGAATTCTTTGAATATTGCTTGACTTTCCTCACATAGAGGAAATAGCAAGCCATTTTTCCCATCCACAAACAGAAGAAGAAAATATATGAATCACAATCACTGGTACTTGCAACTGTTTCTTTTGGGACTCTATATTTGCTATGTTTAGGGACACAAGACCATCATAGAAGTGAATAACAGCAAATAAAGGAATCTTTTTGTTTTTGTTTTTTACCGATGGGAACACTTTTCTAGGAATATCTAGGTCTTCTAGCTTGGCTTTATGACCAACCTCTGCTGCAAGCTGAACACAAAATTACATTGGAGAACTTAGCGATTCCTAGAGATGTTCTGTCCGTAGATATCTGTAGATCCTCTAGCATAGCTGGAGGAAGTGGGCCATAGAGTCGCACTAGTGGACCTAGAGATGCCTAGAAAGAATATGTTTAATTAAATCTGTGAATATTCATATCCACAAAAATTCAAATGTCAAATTCAGAGGGATGATTGTATACGACTTTTGGGGTGTGGTGGCGATTGTTATTTTGTAAGACGATAGCAGTAGTTATGTCTGTTTTTTGCAGATATGTGCCATGGAATTTTCATGAACCTGAGCGAGGCGTGTACAATTTCACAGGCGACCGAGATCTTGAATATTTCCTGCAGCTTGCTCAGGAGGTTGGCTTGTTGGTCATACTACGAGCAGGACCTTATATTTGTGCTGAATGGGACATGGTAAATAATTTCCAACTTGTTCAGTTTGACTTGCTTTTATGAGGTAGATGTTGAATACCGTATGACTAGGCCTGGGTAACAACGGAAAAATTTGTTTCTAAAATCGATTTGTGTTTGGGGGGTTTTTTTGTTTCGATATTTAAAATAATTACAAAATTTTCCTTTTAAAAAGTTCGATATTTACGAAATTTCGTAAATGGTAAAAAATTAACGAATCGATTTCCGAAACAATAACGAATCGATTCGTTAATGTCGGACGCGACCGCGAAATACGCTAAAAAACCTCCAAAACCTTCTGAAGCTTCCCTCTCCCTCTGTTGTTGACTGTTGGTGTGATATTAAAATTTTTTTTCACTAATTAAACCATAAAACTGGCCCAGACATGCGGAAATAATAACGAAACGACCTCAAAACAATAACGAAACGAATACAATATCGAAATACGAAGCATTTACAAAACGTTTTTGAAAATTCGTTTTTTTTAATAATTGCTCCAGAATGGTTCGTTATCGTTTTGTAATTGAAAAAATTAACGAATTATTAACGAATTACGAATTAACGAAACGAAACCGCCCAGCCCTACGTATGACACTCAGTGTGTTAATATATAAGGCAGCTAACTATTCTGTGTTTCTTCATGGACAAAATAACTGAAGAGAATACACAGAAAGGCTACAAATATCGTCTTAACCACCAGTAAACTTCAGCTAGAAGCACCTTAAATTTTGCTGATCTATCATTACTCAGGCTGATTGTGCCATGAAAGACTTGCTAGGAAGTCTCCTAATTCACTCTTGATTTCGGTTTTCTTGGCTGTCATGCACTTGGAAATAGCTAAGAATTGGAAATTTACAGCTGATATCCATTTTTTTTTCTAGGTAAAGAAAATATGGTTCATCACTCTTGTAATAAAACATATCAAATATAAGCCTCAAAAGGAAAAATTGATGGAGATGAAAATGCTTGAATCTGCTATAAATTTATTATATATACAATGCACACGCGCTCACGCGCGCGCACACACATTTATTTATTTACTATATTTTTATCCCTCTCTATCTCAGCCCTGAAGGGGACTCAAAGCAGCTTCCAAATTGGCAATAATTCAATGCCACATTAACACAAGATAAATTAAAAAACAATATACATTGTGCATTAATGAGATATGTGATTTTAATGCTTTTGTATGTGTATGGTATAATATGTTTTGGCATTGGGTGTTTGCCGTTTATATGTTGTGCTCCACTCTGAGTCCGCTTTGGGGTGAGAAGGGCGGAATATAAATGCTTTAAATAAATAAATAAATAAATAAAATAATGAAAATCATAAAACACTAATACACACACATACACACACATATAGACTAAAAATCATAATCCAGAAGCCATTCCAATCACATAGCTATTCACTTCATAGTTGGATATAGCACTGCACTACTCTTCAACTTGTTTTCTAAACGGATAGGAGGAAGGGGGCTAATCTAATTTCACTGGAAAGAGAGTTTCACAGCTGAGGGGCTACCACTGAAAAGGCACTGTCCCTCACCCCATCAGTCACACCTGCGGAGAAGGTGGGACCGAGAGCAAGCCCCCCCCCCAAAGATCTTAGCGCCCAAAATGGCTCATAAGGGAACACACACAAACATAGACTCAAGAAACTTCATCATTTGAACTCCTGGAACAACATTTGCATTGTTGGATTAACCCATTTTAACTGAGAATAAAAAGCAGACACACAGAAAGTATATTTTGATCTGCGGATACCAAATTGATATCTACATCTTGCAATTAAGTTGACCATTGTATGGTTAATTTATTTTCAATTCTTTTCATGACAGTGTTCAACCTGAATTACTTTTATGCAAATATAATTGTATTAAAAGTTAAAACATTGTGTTAAAAAATCCACAGGTATTTTAACATAGGTTCTCACTTCCTTTTTAGGGGGGCTTACCTGCCTGGTTATTAGAAAAGGAATCTATTGTGCTTAGATCTTCTGATCCAGGTAAGGAGGTCACATGAAATTATGTATCTGTGGCTAAGACCATATTGTGTAGAAGTAAACTGTCAAGATAAGAATAGATACTTTAAATACATAATTAATACAAATTATTAAAAAAAAAGAATAGAATTGGGTCAACTGGATGGTCTTGATAGCTTTTGACTACTTTTGGGTAGTCAGAATTTTGTTAGTAAATATAAACATCATAGTTCTCCCTTACCCATGTAAATATGATTGTTCAGTGGGTGAGTAAATAACCTGACTTGAATATTTGAATTAGGAATTCAAATAGGAGGTTGGTGTGGTGTAGAGATTAAGGATGTTGTGATGGGACTGAAGAAGCTATAAAGTTCTATTAAGTGACTTTGGGTCAGTGGCCACTCACATCCAGTACCAGTGATATTAGTAAGGCAGTCAATCTGCTCTAGAGCAGGGCTTCTTAAACTGTGATCCCAACCCCAAATGGGGTCCCCTTGTCTCAATGTTGGGGTCTCAATTTCTTTCTTCTAAAGTCATTTTGTGGCTGTTTTAGTAATTTACACGAATCTGTTGTAAGGTGTTTGTAGTGAAATCTGCAGAAAAGGTTTAAGCTATATTTCAAAAGAAAAGAAAAGAAAATCAACCTGTTTAGCTAGCTTTACAAATGCCATCAAGAAATGTTTGAGGTTTTGTACTTATTTATATATATATAAATGCTCTGTGCGTAATGAGTACCTTAAAAACAAAAGAACCAATGAACAAAATCACACCTAATTTAGCAACAAAACATCTCACAACCTAAGGAATGACCATCTTTTTTAAAAAATGATTCTGTCATTTGGGAGTTGTTGTTGCTGGGATTTATAGTTCTGAACTATAAAGAGCATTCTGAACTCCACCAAAGAGCATTCTGAACTCCACCAACAATGGAATTGAACCAAACTTGGCACACAGGACTCCCCTGACCAACAGACACACTAAAAAGGTTTGGTGGGCATTGACCTTGAGTTTTGGAGTTGTAGTTCACCTACAACTAGAGAGAACTGTGGACTCAAACAATGATGGATCTGGACCAAACTTGGCGTGAATACTCCATATGCCCAAATATAAACACTGATGGAGGTTGGGGGAAATAGACCTTGACATTTGGGAGTTGTAGTTACTGGGATTGAAAGTTCATCTACAATCAAGGAACATTCTGACCAACGACAGAATTGAGGCAAACTTCTCACACAGAACCCTCATGACCAACAGAAAATACTGTGTTTTCTGGTGGTTTTTGGTGACCCTTCTGACACCCTCCCTACTGACCCCCCCCCCCCGGGTCTTGACTTCCCAGGTTGAGAAATTCTATCTTAAGGACATCCAGTTCAACTCCCTTCACCAGAGCAAGAAAACATAATCAAAGCCCTCCTGACAAAGGACCATCCAGCCATTCACACACACACACACATATGTATATGACAGATGCAGTATCAAAGATTTGAAAGGGACCTCTAAAGAAGGACAATGATATGTTGCATATTTCAGAGTAGGCAAACCAGACAATCTCCACATCAACACTGGCAAATAAATAGCAAGAAATACTGTTTACTCACAAGCATAAAGACATTACATATATTAGAAACCAACACTTTCTCATTACTTTATTTTCCAGATCACTAGACTGGGCCACAGCAACGCATGGCAGGCGACCTCTAGTTTTATATATCTGGGGGTCGCATAAACAAAAGGGGTCGCAAGTGGTAAAGGTTTAAGATGCCCTGCTCTAGGGTAGTGAATTTCCATGTACTCTAAAGGAGCTATCCTAAGTGCTGAACCAAAACCTAAAAGTATAAACAGTACTTAATTTAAACTTCTGAGTAAAATCTGAAGCAGATTATTATCTTAGGGATATCAGAGCTATGTGTTGCATTCTCAGTTGCTCTCTATCCACCTAGGCCCTCCTCTACAGCAGTGGTTCCCAACCTTTTTTTGACCAGGGACCACTTGACCAGGGACTACTCTCTAACATTAGTACCAAAAGGGTTACGAATTAGTTTTTGGTCAGCTTTAGATTCGATTTGGTTATTTGGGGTGCTAATTCAGAAAACTGCATTGGATAGACCACATCATTTCTAGCTGATACAAAACATATGCCACCCAGTAGTTGCCATCTGCTTGCCCACAGAAAACCATATTTAATAATCTAGAACTGATGTGGTAGTAGTAACCTTTCCTGGATAGTCAACCTCTCTCTGCCCAGCACCCCGTTGCCTCGGCACTATAAGAGGGTTTTGCGAGACCAGTTGCTCTCATTGCCGCATGGTTTTGAGGCAACAGTGTAGTAATGGTGAGGCCACTGACCATATTTTCATTCTTGTGGACCACTGATGGTCCATGGACCACAGGTTGGGAACCATTGATCTATAGGCTTGATAGCTATAAGGATAATGTTGGGAGCAGAAATAAAGGCACCAGCCATTTTGATTCCTTTGTAGAAAAGGGAGAATATAAACAAACAAACAATATAAAATGACAGGTGAAGCATTTGCTCCTGCTTTCCACTCCTAAATAGAAATCAGGAGCAAATGCTTCCCTTGTCATTTTATATCTTATATATATATATATTTGAAATTCAGTTTCCATAATAATTCCAAAAATATACTTTGAGGCTGGTTATGCTTTTCTTATTCATAAATTATCTGATGTTGAAGTGAGCAATAGAATGGTCAAGTGTGTGGATAATGCCAGATATAATGCAAGAGATTTATGATACACGTAGATCAAAAAGTTCCAGTGTGATATAAGATGTACGTTCTTATTTATAATTGTTCAGATTATTTGACAGCCGTAGGAAGCTGGATGGGGATTTTCCTACCAAAGATGAAGCCTCACCTTTATCAGAATGAAGGTCCAATTATTATGGTGCAGGTAAAATATTTGAGTGACAGTGAGTACTGCCAGTTTCAAGCGGCAAACAAAAAACCTGAATTCTGTTTACAATTTTTTTTGTTGTGTCAGGAGCGACTTGAGAAACTGCAAGTCGCTTCTGGTGTGAGAGAATTGGCCGTCTGCAAGGACGTTGCCCAGGGGACGCCCGGATGAATTGATGTTTTTATCATCCTTGTGGGAGGCTTCTCTCATGTCCCCGCATGAGGAGCTGGAGCTGATAGAGGGAGCTCATCTGCCTCTCCCTGGATTCGAACCTGCGACCTGTCGGTCTTCAGTCCTGCTGGCACAGGGGTTTAACCCACTGTGCCACCGGGGGCTCCAATTGTTTACAATTATTAACCATGATTAACTAGAATTTCCAAAGATTCTCCTATTTGGAAGGTTCACTTGCTTTGGGATATGTCTTTGTATTATATAAATATAAATATATAAATGAATTTTATTATTATCGTTATTTCTAAAGTGTACACACACATTATAACATAACTACGTATATACGAAGCCACCAATCAACAGTAGCAACTTTACACTCTCCAATAGAATTAAAACACATGTGTCTCATTTGAAAGAAAACTTCCCGACTCTACACTGAGATAGCGTCTTACAATAATTTCTCCTATCAAGCAATGTATGTTTATATATATGTAAGTTTTACAAAATATATTCAAAATTGTTCTAATTATATAGAATTATAAAGCTGGAAGAGATCAAGGGCCATCCAGTCCAACCCCTGCCAAGAACAGGAAAATCACATTCAAAGCACCCCCAATAGATGGCCATCCAGCCTCTGTTTAAAAGACTCCAAAGAAGGTGCCTCCACCACACTCTGGGGCAGAGAGTTCCACTGCTGAACAGCTCTCACAGTCAGGAAGTTCTTCCTAATGTTCAGATGGAATCTCCTTTCCTGTAGTTTGAACCCAATGCTTTGAGTCCTAGCTTCCAGGGTGGCAGAAAACAAGCTTGCTCCCTCCTCCCTATGACTTCCCTTCACATATTTATACATGGCTATCATGCCTCCTCTCAGCCTTCTCTTCTTCAGGCTAAACATGCCCAACTCTTTAAGTTGCTCCTCATAGGGCTTGTTCTCCAGACCCTTGATCATTTTAGAACACCCTCCTCTGGACACATTCCAGCTTGTCTACATCTCCCTTAAATTGCAGTGCCCAGAATTGGATACAGTATTCCAGGTGTGGTCCGACCAAGGGCATAATAGAGGAGTAGCATGACTTCCATGGATCTAGACACTATACTTCTATTTTTGCAGGCCAAAATCCAATTGACTTTTTTTTTGCTGGCGCATGACATCGTTGGCTCGTGTTTCACATGTTGTCTACTAGGACTCCAAGATCTTTTTCACACGTACTGCTGTCGAGCCAGACAGTACGTGTGAAAAGGTTTCCAGTTATTTTGAATCGAAACATTGTATCGTTTTATTTCTACATAAGAAGACAAGTTATGTCCCGGCATTGAATGTTTGCCGTATATATGTTGTGCTCCACCCTGAGTCTCCTGCGGGGTGAGAAGGGCGGAATATAAATGTTTTAAATAAATAAATAAGTTAGTTTATCAAATTCTGCAAAATTTAGCAGTTTGGTCAGCCATTCATTTACAGATGGAATAATACTTTCTTTCCCATGCCTGGCATAAACTATCTGAGCAGATGTTATCACGTTTTGAAAGAAAACAATATTTTCCTTGTTGATGATATAAGTTACCAGTTCCAACAAAAATATTTCTGGTGAAAACAATATATTCTGTTGTAAAATTATTTGGATTGTTTCTTTAACAGCTCTCCAATACACATAGGCTTTATGACAGGTTCACCACATGCAGAAAAAAGTCCCTTCTTTCCTCTTACATTTCCCCTGGGCAACGTCTTTTCAGATGGCCAATTCTCTCACACCAGAAGCGACTTGCAGTTTCTCAAGTTGCTCCTGACATGAAAACAAAATCTTACATTTCCAACATTCATTATCCATTATTTTATTTTTATTAATCTTGGCAAGTTTTCCTGGAGTGATGTGCCACCTGTGAAACTTTTTACAAAAGTTTTCTTTCAATTCATTTGCTTTTGTAAATTTAAGGTTTTTGTTCCGCATTCCTTCCCATATGTTCATATTTATTTCATGACCCACGTCTTTTGCCCAATTTACCATGCAGACTTTTACTTGTTTTCTTTGAAGGCTCTGTGTGTGCGCCTTCAAGTCTCTTGTCAATTTATGGTGGCTCCATGAATTTGAGATGGTATTTTTAGACACAGAATATTGAGAGGTGATTTGCATTTGTCTTCCTCTATGACACAGGTGTCAGACCAATTTTCATCAAGGGCCATGTCAGCCTTTTGGTTGCCATCAAAGGGCCATTGAATACATGAATGGCGAATCTGTGGATATAGAGGGCCAACTATAATTTTTTTTAACATAGTAGTCGGCATTCTTTAGTGTTTATCCAGCTTGTGTCCTCAAATGTTATTGAATGACAACTCCTGCCACACATGTGGACAGGGGATAATGGGAATTGCAGTCCAATAGCACTTGTGGCTCTGAGGTTGAGGAAAGATTAAAGGACATTTTAAAATCAGATATCATATACTCAAGTCGTTCTCTAAATCCAAAGCCAACAATCCTGACTAAACAGTACACACTACAGCCTTCCAGATGTTACCGTATCACAACTCCCAGCAGCTGTAGGCATGATGTCTAAATATGAGGAATATAGGAGTTGTAGTCCAGCATCTGGAGGACCACATAAAATGACATGGTAGGCCTTGACACTTGTGCTCCAAGATGTAGACTATATCACCTGATAGTCTTTAGTGGTCTCCCATCCAAGTACTTAGCAGAGTTGACCCTGCTTAGCTTCCAGGATCAGACAGGATCTGATGTCTTGGGCGTATTTAGACCTAGAAACCATATAGGAGTTACGGAAAGATAAAAACAAGAAATCACGTGTTACAAATCTGAAGTATATAATGTGAATACAGTGACCAAGCTGATTGGAAAATTCTGAGCTGTAATACACAAAAATAACTTTTGCAAGCTCTTATACAATCCATGATCAAATGGCTAATATCTCTGAAATCTGATGATGGTAGTGGTCAATTTTTTACAATTTTTGTAAAAAACTTTTTTTTTGCTTTTTGTAGGTTGAAAATGAATATGGAAGTTACTTTGCCTGTGACTTTGATTACCTTCGTTACCTACAAAATCTTTTTCGGCAGTTCCTCGGGGATGAAGTTGTTCTATTTACCACAGACGGTGCAAGCACGATTTTCCTGCGATGTGGAGCTCTTCAAGGTCTTTATTCAACTGTGGATTTTGGACCGGGTGAGTAGTAGTCTTAAGGCTACGTGATTACTTCACAAGAAGCTCCTTGTCAGAGCTTTGGGGAGTTACTTTTTAGACTCCAACTTCCAGAATTCCACAGACAGCTGGAGGATTCTGGAAACTGTACGTTTTGAACTCCTTATCTGCAGACTCGGTAACTACTTTTTCACTTACCCATGTGACAAAAAATATCCCTCCCCTAAGAATGTTTGTGGGTCTCTAGGTCCCTCAGTACTATTCTATTGAATGCTTCTGGCCCGAAAAGAATTGCACCAGGAGATCTAAAGAAGCCCACAGACAGGTGGGGTTTTTTTGGACTCTAGTGCTATTGTATAATATGTTTTCAACTCAAGTATATAAAATATCATGCTGGCCACATGACCAGGGAGGTGTCTACGGACAATGCCAGTTCTTCGGCTTAGAAATGGAGATGAACACCAACCCCCAGAGTCGGACATTATTGGACTTGATGTCAGGGGAAAACCATTACCTTTTTATCTATATAAAATATAGGGTGTGCTATTAGCATGGTTTCAGATAGCTTTGAACATGTCCCCCACAGATGAAAGCTGTGCCGTTATCCAAAAAATATATATTTTCCAAATGCGTTCCTTGAAAAATATAGGAAGATTTGTTTCCAAATAAAGATCAGTCCACTATTTTTTTTCTGAAGGTGCCTTAACATATTTGACTGTCAAACCTTGCTCTTTTTAATCTGGGTGCAATATAAAATGGCAGAGATCATGCATAGCTCTGCCTAGGCTCAATAGTTGTTCTCCATTTAAGCAGAGTCAGTTTCTGTCTCTCCTACAAGAATATTCTCTTACATGTAAAAGAGATATGGTAGTTTAGGAACCAGATTTTACTCTTTCTTTTATTTACAGGTGGAAACGTGACAGCGGCATTTTCAATACAGAGACACAGCGAGCCTAAAGGCCCTTTGGTATGATCCCCCCCCTCCCCCGTATGTTCAAATGTATTGCTGAATGTGCATATGTAACAGGTCAAAAATGGTGATAGTAAACCAGACACTTGGTGCAAATTAAGCCTTGGTTTGAAGGTCTAGCAAGGCATATGCTTGGCATAGCAGGATTACAGTGTCTTAGTATTGTTTTGGACACCTCAAATGAGCATACTATATTGCTGACAAGATAAAGAGCAATAAAAACAATAAATTGTAGGAGCATAAGACAATCAGGAAAGTGTTGAGGGTAGGAAAGAATGACCTGTCTGGAAAAAGCTTGCTTCTACTGAATTAAAAACTCATGATGGTTATGCTGTCTTCATGGTGAGTCACTTTCTCTGTCCAAATACTGGATAATAGTTCTACATTTCTTATGTTTACCTTTGTTGTACAAAGAGGTGGGAAATCACCCATGGAATCTTATTAAGCTGCAAACAGTGAGCACACTATCAAGTATCAAAGTCTACCTTGGTGAAGTCCATTTCCATAACAGCTTGGCATCGGCACTCCCTGATTTACAAAGAGCCTCTTGACATTCCTGTTCTGAGATTATTTTGCTCAACTACTGTGGAAATACATGGTAGAGCAAGTATAACAAGGAGGTAAAATGACTGGAGCCTTGAGATCAACAACAAACAGTGAGAAGAATCTGAATAAAACCTTAAAACAAAGGCATCTCATGCTGTTCTCCCTCTTATTATCCCTACAGTATTTGTTACTGCATATTAACTGATATAAAGAGATGTACAGAAATGTCCATAGCAGTATAGTACTTATGTGTGGATTAGCTTACTGGTTTGCCCTTGTGTTTAGAGGACCCTCGGTGCATCTTCAGTTTGTGCATTTTATCCACTTTAATTCTTACCAATTAAAAGGGCTTTCTAGTTAGTTCACCCATATTCCCCCAGTGGCGCAGTGGGTTAAACCCCTGTGCCGGCAGGACTGAAGACCGACTGGTCGCACGTTCGAATCCGGGTAGAGCTTGGATGAGCTCCCTCTATCAGCTCCAGCTTCTCATGCGGGACATGAGAGAAGCCTCCCACAAGGATGGTAAAACATCAAAACATCCGGGTGTCCCCTGGGCAACGTCCTTGCAGACAGCCAATTCTCTCACACCAGAAGCGACTTGCAGTTTCTCAAGTCGCTCCTGACATGACCAAAAACAAACAAACAAACAAACCATATTCCCAAAACTCTCCATGGGAATACACTTGTTCTGGGTTTCCCAAATGTAAGTGTAGTGCATTGAAAGTGTTTCAAATCTTTACTTAGTCATGAAGCTGACTTTGAGAATCCAGTGTTAGCACAAATTTCCGCCTAACCTGTGTCACAGAAGAAGTGGTTGGGAACATAAATAGAGACATGGACTGAAGTTAATTTCTAAGTTTCAGCTATTTACTATAATATGTAGGTCCACCATCTAGAGCAGTGGCTCCCAACCTGTGGTCAGTGGACCACCAGTGGTTCGCAAGAACTAAAATATGGTCCGCAGCCTCACCATTACTACACCGTTGCAACAAGAGCAACTGGTCTCGCAAAACCCTCTTATAATGATGACCACATCAGAAACGAGCTTATGTAGTCTATCCAATGCAATTTTCTGAATCAGCACTCCAAATAACCAAAACGAATCTAATTTGTAATCCTGATTTGTAATCCTTTGGTGAGAGCCAAAGATGTTCTCATTCATCTAATTAGCTATACACTATGCTAACCTACATATACAAGTAGAAATATACTTCCAGAGTACAATAGATGTTGGAGAGTAGTCCCTGGTCAAAATAGTCCCTAGTCAAAAAAAGGTTGGGAACCACTTATCTATAGTCAAGTACATAAGAATAGATGTGAGTAGCACCAGACCCAAATACAAAATAATGGCTCAGGATGAGAGCCAAAGATGTTCTCATTCATCTAATTAGCTATACACTATGCTAACCTACATATACAAGTAGAAATATACTTCCAGAGTACAATAGATCTGTTGACCAAAACTGATTTGTAATTGCGCAGGAGCAGGGGAGCCTAGGGATGATTATTGTTGTTCCCAATTTGAAAAGGAACCAAATTTACCATCAAGTTAGAAGGGAGGCTGTTCACTCGCACCTCCTCCTTTATTAAGATAGTAATAACTTAGTAGTAATTACACTGTATGTATTGTAGCGTGACTGGAGATAAGAATGTAGATCTATTTGGTCACTTTCCCCTGTGTTTCTGCCACCAATGTGTGATGTGAGGTATTATTGGGAGATATGGCACACTGGACGCAGAATTAATGGAGATGAGGCAGTCTTCAAACAAAAGAGAACAAGTTTATTTTGAACAAAGCGTATGGTTGCAGGCTGTTGATAAACTTGGAAATACTTTGAGAACTTTACATGTAACTTGGTTGCAATACAGTTCACACTTCTGGATGATACAACTTGTAATTGACTTTTACTGTGGTGAAGCACTTTCTTAAACAATGTTTCCTGAGGTGAATAGCCTTCCTGTTTGATCCTTCCGTGATCAAACCCCAGATCTCTAGTTCATTTCTAACTAGTGATCTAAACAAGCTTCTCTTAGTCCTCTCTAACTAATGAAACTAATTAGGTTTCCCCTTCAGCCTTCCTAAACTGAAGAAACCTCTGACTATTCACAAACACTGCTTCTCTACTTCCCACTCTCTCTCTCTCAACTGCTAACTCCGACTCCAAACTTAACTCCTGACTGCTCACTCCTCTAAACCTAAAACCTAACTGAACATTAACTGTCGTTTTTCAAACTCTCCCCTCTAAGCTCCTCCCACCTCTCTCTCTAGCCTACATCGTCTCCATGGCAACGCACTCCTCTCAGTTAGGCCGCTCCAGCATTAGTGCAGCCAATCTAAACACAAATACAGTTAAAATCATACAATTTATAATCAACTTCTGTACACCTTCCCCCCCAGAAAAAATTATTTTTGGACCATTCTCAGTCCCGGAATGGGCAAAAATAATTCCACAAATTATCCAACAATATCTAAATACACAATATTTCTGAAATGCAAACATATTATGGTTAAATACATTATAATTCATACATACAAACCTTATATTGATCAGTTATCTAGTATCATCTATGGATGTGGTATCAAAGTCTCACATTTCTAACATTTTTTATATAAACAATCTATCTAAACATTTCTATATTCATACATATATTTGTAAATATTTATTGCCTATTGCAAAACGTATATACCTACCCCACTTTAATATAATGGGTTTATATCTTATACCTATGGTATGAAACATATACAGTTCACCACTGTAATGACATCATACATTTTACAAGTCTATAATAAAACAGGATACCCATTTTTTAAATATTACACTATACTATATTATACTATATTATACATACATTACCTTTATACATTAACACTTTTATTATTCAATGTGTTATTTGGTCTGTCACTTGTATAAACTCAGTTTGGCTTCTGTTGGACCAAATGTCTAGTCCACTGCTCCTTTTAAAAGTATCCTGGTATTGTGCCAATACATCTTCAAATTGACTTTTGTATTTTCTTATCACCTCTATATAACTTAGATCTATCTGTGATCATCCTCTATCTATTCAATTCTCCATATCAACATCAAATATCTTTGTCCAAATATGTTTCTATCCCATTAACATATACAATTGACCTTCTACCTAGTTTGGTCAATTTATAAGACATTTATCTATATATCATATCACAACTTTTCTCCATACATATGGTCCCAATTTGTTAATAGCCCACACAATAGTTAAACTCCCACATTTGATCGTTGACATAGGTGTCTTAGTGTCCAATGTCCCATGGTTCAAACACAACCTCAGTTGTACTGGACCAACTGTCCACAGCAATGTCTCTTTATGATGATCTTTTAGCTTCTTTCTTCCACTTTTTTGTTTCTTCTTTTTAGGTTTCTTCTTTTGTCTTCTTTGGATGTCTTTTCGATGACCTGGAGATATGGTTTTCTTTCTCACACGACGTCTGCAAGTCTTTTCTGCTCTCTTTTTTGCTGCTGGGGTTTCTTCTTTTAATCTGACCTTCCAATTATCAGGAACAGTTCTGCTTCCATCAAGTTTCAGGGCTTGAACAACGGCTAATGTAGCATCAGATTTTAGTGAAGAATCTGGAATCCCTCGAACATCTCTTCTTGGCACTGAAGAGAATTCACTGTCTTTGGAAGAACAAACATGAATACTGTCCTTCTGACCAGGAGTCCCATCCCGCAGTCAACAAATTTTGAATGCGTCCACCTGAGGGTGGGTGACCGGGACAG